TGAGGTATGCCAAAATGTTCAGAAACCTTCAAAACGTCGAGAAATGTAAAAATTTTCAATTCCATTTTCGGCCCATTACAATAAATTACCCTACGGGAAGTTTAAATAAATAAATATAAATATTTAATATTATCACAGACAAGAAAAAAAAGCGTTTGTTATCTCTTACTTGTTGTGCATTTCGAGAGTGGCTTCTTGGTCTTTGAGATCTCCCTCTATTTTCTTTTTGGCTGCAACAGCAGCAGCACGTTGTTTCCTCTCTTCGTCCAATTCAGCTTCAACATCTCTCAAAGCCTTGACCAGACCTCTGCGTTTCTCTTCAGACTGTTCTTCTTTCGCCTAAAAGAACATATAAAAAATTACGAAAACCATTTTACTACCTATTTTAATAAACCAGTAATTAACCTTTACCTGTAAGTCTCTTTCAAATTGAGTCTTCAACGCCTGCATGTTGACTTCCAATCGCAGTTTGGGATCTTCAGTCAACTGCAAATCGTCCTCGAGTTCCTCATTTTGGGCTCGAAGTTCAGCCAGTTGACTTTCCAGCGCACGTTTTGCTTTCTCGAGTTCATGAACATTTTTATCAGCTGTTCTTGGGAATTGGCCAATTCATCTAATTCATTCTGAAGAGACCTTCGACCCCTTTCAACTCTTCAATCTTAAAATGATAAATAATTATTAATAAATGATAAGAAAATGTCGTATGTAATTTTTTTAATTACCTTTTCGCGTTCCTCATCCAACTCTCTTGTAAGCGACAGCACCCTTGTTTCCTTCTCACGTGCTTCTCGTTCTGCATTATCTCTTTCTTGTGCCAAATGTTCGCTTATAGCTTTTTCTTCAGCCATACCTAAATGTATAAAACATATTATGATAAATAAATATAATAAATATTAATATAACTAGTAAGGTGGGTGGCATCGTGCCTTAAGGCAAATTGCTGGAACTTCCCGTACCGTAACGAAATGTTCGAGGATTACTGAATGTTTTCAAATAGATTATTATAAATATTGTAACATTGTCTAATATTTATAAATATTATATAAACTGAATTGCAGAGTTGAAATTATTTGTAAAGTATATTAGAACTATAGTCAGAATTAAAAATAAATATTTTCGATATACAAAAACTAAAAAAAAAAAAAAATGGGACAATTTTTTTTTTCCAAAATCGTATTTGTTAAGACAAGCAGAAAGTTCTTTGAATCATTTAAATCGGACGCTTAGTTCTCTCAAAAACTGCCATTTTTTACATATTTAGCTCCGTATCTTCAAATGGCTGGGCTGCCTTTGCCAAAAACTAATAAACACTTCTCCCAATCATTACTAATTGAATGTTTTTAGATCATTCAAATCGGATACTCCGTTCTCTCAAAAATAGGATTTCTATTTTCTGCATTTTTGCTCCGTATCTCCGAAACGGCTGGACCTGCATTTGCCAAAAACTAATCAGCTCTTTTCCCTATCAATAGGAATCGGATGTTTTTTGAACCATTCAAATCGGTTGATCCGTGCGCCCGAAAACGTGGACGAAAATTTGTATCCACATACATACATACACCACACACACACACACCCACATCGTTTTTTCCTGAAGTATGCCAAAACGTTCAGAAACCTTCAAAACGTCGAGAAATGTAAAAATTTTCAATTCCGATTTTCGGCCCATTACAATAACTTACCCTACGGGAAGTTTAATAAATATTATCAACAATATCTATTTTCAAAAGAATTAAGATTTGCAAACTTACCTTATCAAAGTTCTTTTTGTTTCTTCTCCAATTCAATGACTTTAGCCCGTGTGTCTCCAAATCAATGGTGGTGTCTTCAAGTTCAGCTTGCACCTTCTTTTTACCTAAAGAAATAGATAAAATAATAAATTAATAGAATTTATTTATATATCTATTTCAGATGTACATACTTTTGTCTAATTTATCATTGGCCGCTTGCAACTCCTCGATCTGCCTCTGCATCAATTCAATATCTTTATTCAGTTTCTTTTTACTTTCTTCCAAGCCTGCTGCAATTTCTGCCTCTTCATCTGCTCGTTTCTTGGCTTCGACCAACTGTTGTGTCAATGCTGCTACCTAAAATATGAAAAAAAAAAAACAAATCAATAAATCGATAAACAATTATGATTATGTGATTGGATGTGCTTATACGTACTTGTTTCTCATAATTCTTCTTAATCTCTTCCTCCTCTTCCAATTGTTCGTGAAGAGCCTCCCTTTTCGATTCAAGTTGTCTCAATCGTGAACTCAATGCCAATTTTTGTCTCGTCTCGTCCTCCAATTGGGCCTGGCTTTCTGATAATTGACTTTCCATTGTACCTAAAAATAAACAATAATGATCAAAAATTATAAGAAACTAGATGACCAGACAGACGTTGTCCCGTACCCACGTCGAAAATTCAAAAGTTTCAAATTTTTAATATCCTATTCTGTACTATTTGATGCCATGCCTTTGTGATTCATTTATGGTTTATTGTTAGCATAAGCAGTATAAGAAATGCAGAAAAAAATAATATATATTGCGGCAAAATAAATATAATCACACTTACATTATTGTTTATGTTCAAATCTTTGTCAACAAAAAATGTAAAAAAATTGCAATTTGGACTTATTGCGTTATTATTAAAGTGAATTATATAATTTCATCTGCCAAATATATACTGTTGACTATATGTTATATTATTTTCAGCTGCTTTTTCGGCAATAATAATGTAGACATACATTTTTCTTGTATATTATATTCTAATATTATCTAGGTAAATATAATGGAACGTGTTTTTTTGTAATTTTTGCCATTTATTTCGACAATATTACAGTAGAGACTCCAATTATCCGAATTAATGGGGACCGGGACCCGGATAATCAAATATTCGGATAATCGGAGTTTTTTTTAAAATTGCCATTGGAGAGAAAAAAGTTACGTTTTGATATTGCACTATTTTTTTATGGAATTAAATGAAAGAAACATGACATTTTCATATGTTTTTAAAAATAAATAAAATGTACTTATGTACAAGTTTAGAAATAAAAATCATTGTTTTGTAAACATCTCCGTCAAATCAAAACAAACAATGTGCCTACACTGGCTTTGCTGGTGGAAGAATAATAGCGCACTTAGACTTTTTTGGACAATTTTTTTTCTGAAAGTGATTCGGATAATCGGCGATTCGGATGGTCAGAGTTCGGATAATTGGAGTTCTACTGTACTATAGTTTTATCGTTCATTTAATTTTCCTTGACAAACTATAAAAAGAATTATCAAATCCGTTTACGCCTACATTTCTAATTGTTAGATAACACGGAGCGCTTGAAATTTAATGTAAAGTTTATAGAATAGCAATAAAGCTCAAATTGATTCTACGTTTTAGTTGGAAAACGTTTGTATGTGAAAACAAAGGGGCTGTTTTTAGGGTTTTTCCGGCAATTATTCGATTTTTCTCGCCGTAAGAACATCCTTGGATTTCAACGAACATTTTGAAAAGAAAAGAAAAAGAAAAAGGCGTTGTTGAGTTATGCGCTTACCAACACATTTTGCGATCCATTTTATATATAAGAAGATGTGATAGAGTTTTGGTGTCAATTTCTTACCTGCATTCTTGACTGCTGCGGAAGCCCTCAATTCAGCCTCCTCCAGCTGTTGGGCCGCATTATCAGCTTCCTGCTGCAATTTATGATTTATCTTGCAGTTCCTGTTTGGCCCTCTCGACTTCACCGAGTTTGGCCTGGAGTTCCAATAATTGGGACTCGGCCTGCTTCCGCCTCCTGTCGCTCTCTTGACGAGAGGCTCCGACGCTTCGGAGTTCGGTGGCCAAATCTGCGTTCTCGGCCTCCAACTGGAGTTTGGATTTTTCAAGACCTGGGGAAAATAAAAGACCACAATGATATAAATTCGTGCAACGGGTAGATAATATGATCGTACGAACCA